GTGATGCCGGTGTTGAACGTGTTTGCCGTTCACATCGACGAGATGTCGTGGGAGGGGATGTACCACTGTCCTGTTTTCATCACCAGCATGCGTGGACCGACATATGTATTCCAGGTGAGTCTTTTATCCTGGCAGACACATGATGAGGTGTGCTGGTAGGCCAATCTTCGAATGGATGCTGATGATACTGAGGCACGTTGGGTCCTCGCGGGTGCGGCTTTGCTGCTGACAGATGACTAAACAACCGCATGAATACACGATGATGGGCAAGTTGTGAAATTGGGAGACCGCAATTGTGTTGGAGTTTATCGAGGATATGACAGTTGCACAACACAACTACGATCGTTAGCCATTACCGACGATCAAAGACCTGATGTGGAATTGCAAGGAGCTATATTAATTCAGTATTTGACTGACGCTCGAAAACTTTTACTGGATACGGAAACCGCAGCAGGCCCACATGATTGTGGTACGACAATCGGTTCGAAAGCGGGCGAGTATGGTGGATCTTTAGCTCCCGGAATCTTAGCTCTAGGGTGCGAGGAGAGCCATCAGTCCTACCGTAACTTAACAATCGAATTAGACGCCTTAATGTGGCATGTGAGATGAGAGTGGGAAAGGTTGCCCCCATGGAAGACGTGGAGGTATGGAAGATGGGCGTGTTGTGGTACACTGCCAGGCTGTGAACCGCACTGTTGTTACCACAGTGTGGTATACCAAGTTATATGAAGTTCATATTATGAACGCAACTCGTGGGAGCAGGAGCTAACGAGTAGTATAGGTGCCGCTACAAATAGTATCATCTTGATCACAGAGTCTGTGACACAGCTTGTGCCGAGCCCAATATCCTTCCCAATAGCAGGAGTTAGTCGCACGACAGTTGACGACTTGTTCATCGCATAAGTTGCGCGAGCGCGGGTAACCAGAAGTCTTCTGGCATCTTCTGGCAGAAGATGGCTACCTAATGAATCCAAATACATCGTCCGACTTACTTTCAACAAATCACTCGTTCCTGTGCTGTGCACGGCGTACTGCCTCTTTGAAGGCAGTGCAACTGATGCCCTGAATAGCCAAGAACGAGGTCGTTGCCATGCTGCGTAACAGTTGACAGTCCATACGAATCAATGATTCGTAATCATCTATCCCTAGGAACTGATGTAACCCTCAACTCTAACAAGATCGAGGATGGCATGCTGCCTAACGGCTGGCAAATGGTCAGCCACTCAGTCGACTATTCACTCAGAGTGATGGGGATGATGATATGTTATGCCGAACTTACTACCATCACTCACCGTCCACTAACTTGGTGGCACTAGGTACTTTTACTTCTCCTGATATGCGCGCCACTCTGTGATAGGATTAACAAGGGTTATCAAAACACAACTCGAACTTGAGCCAAGATGGCTACGGAATTCTCGACACTTAGCAAGAACAGATTGCACTGAACTCGCATGTTCGGTTCTAGCTAAAACATACGTACGCATGCACAAGCCAGTGGTAATACCGGTGTCATCGTGACACTGTCACACAGGCTGTGCAATATCTACCATACTATAAACTTGAAGGTTGTAAACTTGAAACGATAATACTCGGTGAAAAAGAGCGAAGCTCATAACACCGATCTATGTTGACAGGCCCAGAAGTCAAGAGTCTCGATCTCACCGGGCTCATTATCCCATTCAACGTCAACTCGCCCCGAGGCAATGCCTCGGAGGCATGCATATCACGCACTGTACCCTTGAACCATCGGCGCACAGGTCGTCGCCGTTGAGGATAAACCACATCATACAGGACTCTAAATCTCATATCCATCAAACTGGGCAACTCATAGATAATAGGATCAGACGATGATGAGTCAGTCCCATCACTGGGAGTGGCACTCCGCCTTCGTCAACTCCTCCATGTGACGCATACGTTCGACGTGATCCGCATATTGAATATTCGGAGACAGCACACAATCGCGCAGCTCGTAAGGGAACTTGTCGATAGGAGCATGGCGTCACGCCATTGGCGTATAGGATGTGCATCGTACATATACTACTCGCTCTACTCCAATCATTGTTGTCGGACTCTCCTGACATGAGTGGCTGCTATGGCGAGCGCATACGTGGGGTAAAGTAACCAACAAACTGTTGGTTAACAAGCCAGCAAATGCTCAAATGTACTTTGTCGACTGATCCAACGTTATGTTCATCACCACTGGTGATTCACCAGCGACGTCCCTACCGGTATATGACATCTCGCCGTGATCGGCATACATTATATGAGATGCGTCGCATATTATATGAACCATCGCCGCCGACGACGGTAGCTCGTACCCCGAGAGATCATTCACAATCCTTCCACTATCTCCACGTAAATCATTGACAGAAAAAACGAGTCAATTGGACTCTAACTTCCCGAGCGTGAATGGTGTCACACCACTCGTGTAACACCAGTAATTGTCATTGACAGTTTTTCAAGTCAACATGAGAATATATGAGATACACCGACTCGGTTATCTCGGATAACCGAGTCGGATAACTTATCTGCGACCTGCCTATTGGTTCCATGGTGACGTCTGCTGGGGGAGCAGCCTCCTCCGCATCAATCATAGCTACGTTTCTGACGGCAATCCAATAAGGGACCAAAAAATTCTATATCTCCACATACTGGTCGGTGGTTTCGGTTAATCTGATTAACCGATTAACCGAGTCATGACAACTCATTCAGCACAGCAGGTGAGCGAAGGGATAAAAGGGAGCTTGCGGTTGTCACAGTGTCATAGCCTTATCCCGCCGAGATGTGGAGTAATATGTGAGCAACTGAGTACCCACCAACGATGCCAATGGATTACCAAGCACATTCATAGCTGTTTGAACTCGGAATCTTACACAGCTTGAGGCTCCCAAGCATTTTTCCAGCAACTGAGACCAGCCGATCCTCAATGACATCTTTATCGTAACTACACCATCACAGTAAACCCGAGTCCCGTGGATCACATCAATAATTTACATTAATCTCACCTATAACAATACAAAGGGCAATAGCGCACACCCGGCTTCTTCGATGAAGTTGCTTCAATACCTAAGTCACTAATCCTGTTGCAGCGACCGCAGATCATCTAACCTGCTACTTCGCCGATGATCGAAAACGTGAGAGGAAGATACTCATCTTGCGCACTCGTCATTGCTATCCTCAGGCGATGGCCGCGCATCTCTGGGAATTGAACTCGGGACCTCTTACCATGGACGAGTTGATTATTTGACACAACGATTATAGTATATTCAGCAGCTTCTCATCCATCCCCACCTCACCACTGAAAGATCCTCTTTTCCTCTTCCGTTTAGCTATCACCGAAAAGGTTAGCCAGGCTCGACAGTAATAGGATGTATCGATTAGACGCAATACATACCACAATGTTAACTTTTACACTGAGGGTTGCGCAGCGCAACTTGCGCTACTCTTTCTTCATACATTTCCTCCAATTTTAACACCATGCCATCGGTACTTCAATTTCTTAAATTTGATCGGAATCAATTTCGTATTTCGGGATTCCTACTGAACAAGCGTGTTTGACAATGGAACCAATAGAGGATACTATTGTTCAAATAGGCGTTGTAAGATGTAGTCGTGATGATAGGGTAATCCATATATGTTATAGCTAGAGAACTAACGATACCTGTGACTCCACGGAATGCAGGGGAATGTTGTAGAGATTGATCTTCTCTCTTACCTACTCTGAGCGAGGCGAAAGCTACTGTCGCTGAAGCAGTAGAGAAAAGTGATGCATGCATCGCCATGCTTTGTGGATGTGTAAGAATATAATGTCTCTCTCAGAGAGCGATATTGTGTTATGGCCCTTGGGATGTCCTTAGCACTGGCATAGTTTTCTTTGTTCGCTATGAGCATCAGGGAAGGCGAGCTCGAAGTGCGGCAACAAAACCCACACCTCAGGGTTGACTACAGTAAGGCGTACGCTAAGAGGCGACCGGATGAGCCACGAAGTCACTACGCCCAACGACTCAAGTTCATCAACGAGCTCATAAGAGGGATGGGAAACAGTAAGAGAAAAAGGATACTCGTGTTGCTTAGGGCGAGATCGTCTGTTGTATCCTCTAGAAGGACTACGTAGTGACGCGAATGTGCTCGCTAGTTGGCTGATGAAGCTCTCGTGTGGTTGCTGATTTTTCTATCATTGATACAAAGTCAACTCGACATGCAATCGTTGCGATTTTCCATGTCGTTGTCAACGACTCTCAGAGGCATTGCTTTTGTCTGGCTCGATAGACCCTCGAACGAGAATTCTTATTGAGCAATGTCCTCACGCTATCCTCAGGTCTCTCTGATGAGCGAATAGATGTGCTCAGCAACTGCTACACTAACGTGAAGTTTCTCAACAACAAATACCATCCGGAAATAATGGCGATTCTGGAGAAATATGATCCGGACGTGGAGAGTGTTATGAAGAATCGTCATAGCATAGCACACTGGAAGACACCCCTGGCTGAGATTGAGCAGGCTTCTCAGTGCTGAGTAAACTACGTATCGAGTCGTGGTGGGCAGTGTTGGAAGTTGCGGAAGGTGTGGTATGAGAGTACACGTTCCAAGTTTGTTTTTCCATTATGGTTGCTACTGTTGACAGCGCGATTTCCCTCGAAGGTGGCAGTAACAGAAGTCAGGCACCACTTGCTGTACTCACCGACATCTACCAACAGCGGAACAGAGGACTCCGCAGTAGAACAGTGCCTCAAGTCTACCAAATGTGAGGCGGGTGTGGTATCGGTAGCTGGAGTGTCTATATTTATGGGATATTATTCAACGCAGTATGAAGATTTGGCTCGATATCTCGGTGAGATGGCATGAATGTATAATGGTATATCTGTGGTTAATGTCAAACTTATATACATCATCCGATACTGTGCTTGTCGTTGACCATGATAGCTAGAGCTCCTCCCTCCCTAGTGAACGCAACGACGCTGTAGGGGGGGCATATAAGGATTATAGAGCAACCCCGACCAAGAACTAATCATCATAATTTCTATTCAGGAGTAACTCGCCGATCTACCCGGGACCGCTCCGTCGGATCGAGTCGGCTCCTGTGGTTGCTCGAGGCCCTCCGAGAACTTCCGCCACGATGCCCAACACCTCACGTCATGAGTATCACTATCGTTATAATGTACCGAAGGATGCTGCTCGGCTACTTACTACTCTTGTGGTCCTGTCAGACTGGCCGTCATGAGTCTCGTCAAGGTTCGTCTACTGCCAGGGATGCAACCAGGTGAGTTATGCTCTCGGGAGAAAGGCGTATGCGTTCGCCGCAATTGAGCAAAGGGGACATCCTTCTAGATGGAATGCTCGTGTTTTTCAGGAGAAATAGGGGAGCACCTCGCGGAAGCCATTTGGCCAGTCCGCCACCATCTCGCACTATGCGCCCTTCCACACAGGTATTGTTAACCCATGTTCTCCTCAGTAGCCTCATATCTCCATCAGAGGCACACAGCTCGACATCAGTATTCAAAACCACCGCCGGCGGGTCTGGTCGAACCCGAGTTGTCTTCGAGGAGCACCGGCACTAACTCCAGTGGAGTGGTATCGACATGGGAAGATCTCGGGGATGGTCTCGAGCCAATCCCAGTGGAAGGTCTCATCCGTCCTATAGTCGCGTACACACATCACTGTGGATGCGGCGGTTACGTCTTCCGTAAGCACTTCTAGTCTTGCAGCAGTGGCCTTGTAAGGGCGGAGCGAAGCTCGCAATGTTTTTATATTTTTGTGACTCGCCTGATCCATTTTTGATGAGGACCCTGCCGGGATACTAAGTTGATTCGTCTCTACACTCGTGTTCCATTGTTTTTCTGCTCTGCTCCTTCAACTTTGTGTGACTCGAGAAAAGCCCCATTGTGTTCCGGATAATGCTGCTGGAACAACAGATCCACACGGCATCTTGTGAAATCGCGTATTTCCTCAACCCACCGTCGTGATCGCTATAATGCTGCTGATCGTCGCACTCTAATAACTTTTTCTTCGCGATTTTAACCGATTATCACTCGATAGGAGTGAGAGTAATTTCCTAATCTTAGTATCCATATAATATGGCTTGAGTTGCTTGAGTGAGATGTAGTAAGACGCGGCGACCCGTATGAAGTCTCAACCTAATTTTTCACATATCA